CATACCTTAAAACTGTAAGCTAATAAGTTCACTGACTTACCCTGCGATTAAGGTAAGTCTGTGTCCTTCCTAGTGCAATATGAACAACAAAAGTAATTATACTTACAGTCTGCTTTATGTACTTAGAGGACTGACCCTCATGCCACTGATTTCAAGGTAAGTGGTACTTCTCACTTTTTGATGGCCACATCTGTCCTTAGTCACTTAACCCTCTTTCTGACATCAAATTATGTTGAAGAATAAGCAACTAAGCCACTAAACAATGGAGTTAGTGTATTTCTGGTTGTCTTAGAATGCAGTCTTGGTAAACTAGTTACCTTGCCATTTTATCTTCTGCAGATAGCACCATTTGTTTGGTTTTGTTTCTATGTTGGTAACATTAAGGAACAGTGCTTGCCTCAGTTTGTACTGTGGGACCTGGTGGTAACTCCCAGCTGCTGAAACTATCCATGTGCCCTGGTCACATTATTTTGGGATGAAAGTTCAGTCCTTATCATTTCTTGTGGTACACTGGGAAAGAAGAGCAAGGTGCATGGAATAGGAGGTTGCAGCATACTTCCAAGGGATCCCTTTTATGGCTTGCACAATGAAACAGCCTTGTGATGATCATGAAGTCTTTATCCCCCCAAAAATAAAATTAATCACTTCTGAAGTTTGCCTAGTTGCCCTTCTGGTTTCTCCTGAGATATTAATTGGCCTTTTGAAGAATAGTTCCTTACTGATGAGAAAATGAATTGATTTTGCAAAGTTTGTTAGTTGCTGGAACCTTTATTTCACCATGAGCTCTACTGAATGAAGCTATGCATATACACACACGGTGTTGTATTCTCTTCTCTGTAGTACCAATCAAAATATTTTGCAGGGACAAACCCTGAATTATGTAGACTTCATTTTCAAAAAAGACTTTTCTAAATTCACAGAAAATTGTTACCTTTGTAATTTTTGGAAGTAAATTATGAAACCCATGAAAAATGTAAAAACTTCTAATTGTTTGGTATTGTCACATTTTGTCTAGTAATGAAGGATGAGACTGTCATGTACCTGAACACATTTTACATGTGTATTTGAATTCTACTTTGCTCTTAAATACACTTAAATAATTGGATCCCATATGGCTGGTGGGTGGTTGTTTTTGGTTTTTTTTTTTTTTGGTTTTTTGTTTTTTTTTTTTTTTTTTGTGTGTGTGTGGTTTTTTTTTTTTATGGCCTGCAATTTAAAGTTTTGTCAGAATAATGTATTAAAATGTGCAAAAAAAAAAAAAAAAAAAAACTGTCAAGTTTCATTTCAGGAATTAGTTTAAGTATACCTACAAAATAATTAATTTGTTGAAATAAGAAAGCAGTTAAGATAGTCAAAATGTTATGTGAAGTGCTTCTGTACTTTTGATTCAGGTAATGATTAAAATGTAAGTATATGCAATACCAGGAATGCTACATATAGCTGTCTACTGCAATCTATGTCAGTTTTCAGAAACCTCTGATACAAGTAAAAAAAAAGGAACCTCCAAGTAAATTTTGGGATTGTCTTAGTATAAAATGTGCTAAGTAAAGAGAAAAGATACTGTAATTACAGCAGCCACTGTAATTACAGTGGTTTCAGAAAGCCCATATCACCAACACAAGATAAAATTAGGGAAGCTTCTTAGAACACCAGATTGTGTTTAATTAATGTATATGTTCAAGGCTCGTAAAAATGTGGGCACTTTTCTTTCTTAGGGACTTGAAGAGAAAAACGTCAGATTATAAAATTTCTGGATTCCTTAGGCATAAATTCTGATGAAGTTTAATCCAAGAAACACTGTTCTTGTCATGCTGGAGGACTGTAAGTAGGACTCTTGATAAGAACATATGTGTCATATGTCCTTGTGCTATTCTGTGCATGGGTATGGGTGTGTGTGATGGACTGTTGCAACTACATTGATAATATCCATTTAAAATGGAATTCCTGTATGATTGACAAGATCTTTTTTTGTATACCAAAATAATGAGAGTGTACGTTTGTAGGAATATGAGTGGTTGAAGCTGTCATTGATCAAGCTGATATTGGCCAAGTCAGCACTATCAGCTTTGGAGTTTTGAGGTGAGGAATGGATGGAATTAACAAAAAACAGTTAGTAGAAATATTAATAAAGTAATGAAAAGGTGGACGATGTTAGCACAAAATACAGCAAACCAGGGGAACACACTACAACAGAAATCTCTTTTTACCGTTTGATACTCTTTTTCCCTTTGATACTCTTTTTCCCACCCATCTTTATCAAGCTGTCTTTGCTTGCTCTCAGGAAACTGTAATGGATAGAGGTAGGAACTGTGGTTTGTCCCCTCTTTTTACTTCTAAATGAAGTCCAGCTCTTTAAACTTGATTCTTCTTTTCTGTTCCTCATGCTTTCTCAAGCAGTGCTACCAGGGAACTTCCTTGCACTCCTTTAAAAACTTTCCTGAAAACCAACTGGTTCTGTGAACTGTTTCAGCCATAAAGAACACACCCCATATGTGTTTGTTCTGATTTATCTTGCTCTGTACTGCTCTACTTTTGTACTTTGTACTTTAAACTGGGGCAGGGAATATTTGTTGTATCAATATATAAATGATAACACTAAGATGAAGACTGGAATAGAGGGGGTTTTTCCCCTTTTTTAAAAAATAGAAAATATGTGCGTAGTGTGTATCAAAATGGGTGGCCATATAAGTTATTCCTGTTCTTATTGATAATACAAAGGATACTTAAAATGTATTATATCGAGGAAATAGAGACCTTTTAAAATAATGTATTTCTTACATATTTTGCCTGTCTACAAGAAGTAAAAAATATTTTATGAAATCGATCAATATAACATATTACATTCAGCAGCCATCATTCTTCCATTGTTTTAATTAAAAAGAAAAGCAAAAAATACCACGTTATATCTTGTTTTATGGAAATTACAGTAACTAAATAGAAATGCCCTATAGAAATAAGCTAGTTATTTGACTCAATGTTAGACAGGGTAAGAATATTCAAATCAAAAGATAAATAAGGATATTTGGAACTTAGCGTGTCTTTGATTTAATCCACATGGCTGTACTTCTACTCTTATTCTAGTCACCATTATGTATTAAGGAAAATTTTAAATTTTCAACTATGAGTGTCATTAGGACATTTATGGTGAACTTACCTATACAACAATGTATAAACTATATAATCTTCCTTTATATTTTTTTCCCTTCCCAATTTTTAGGGGCAGTAGCTTGATAGTTAAGCATACAGATTTCTAAGACTTTTATTCCAGTTTTCCTGCTACTTGAGATGCTTCAAACCCGCCTATGGTCTGCTTCAGCTCAATCACTAGTGATAAGACAAAAATAATGGTAGAAGTAGGTTCTCAATGTCTACTGTTTGAAGATCTTGGCCTTGAAAAATTGGACATCACTCTTGTCACGATATTTATCTGGACATTAAATATTTTCAAGATTTGCTGATCAGATGCGTCTTCATTTTTTGAGCTAAATTTAAAGATGAATCACAGACAAATGTATTTCTCAAGTGGACTTCAATTTTGTAGTGATGACTAATTCTCTGTGCTTGCAAATTTGACAGGTGGATACTGCCTACAGTAATTTATACCCTGTGTTAAACCAGACACAAATATAAGGATGAATAAGTAATCTAGAACACAGATAAAGTCTTCTTTTGAATTCAAGGGATCTGTACTAATAGATACAGATGCTGCATAACGCTGAGGATGTCACATGCCTGTTACTTCACAATATGAAGTTTTCTGATATTTAATTTGTCAGAACATTTTAGAAATGAAAGAAGGAAGAAATATGTGTAGTTAAATCTTGAAGAAGATGTGAAGAAAAGCCAAAGGAAATTGAACAAATGTATAACTCTTATTGTGAATATTTGTCAGTGATCTCAGTCCAATCCTTTCCAAGAATAAGCAAGTTTGACCTTGGATAGATATAAAAGATCAAGAAAAAGTATTAATAAATCTAACTTTTTTTTTCCAAATACATATTTTCCCATTATTTTTTCTAGAACTTGTCTCATATGCAGCTTGTATTACTTGGCCTGGCTGTTTTTTTGTTAGTTTTTTCTCATGGAGGCATTAGTATTCAAAAACTAGGGTATCTTTGTCCTTAAAACTTATGACAAGAACAAAGTTTTAATTTTCTTATCCTGAGCTTTCTTGTGTTGACAAATTCCAAATGACTGATTGGAAAAAACCTCCATATTGCACTCTTCCAGTCTTTCTTCTGCTACTTCTTTGCAGATCTAGGTTATAACACTTTGTCACATTTTGGTCACAGGGGTGACTTGCTGAATCACTGTCAAATTAGAACTTCATAGGTGGTAGAGTACAAGCTGGTCAGAATTTTATTAACCTAGGAAGTCAGTCTTTCCTGTGGAGCTTAACAGAAAAATAATTCAACCGGGAAACATGTTGTGGTCTCACCTGATGAGATACCAGACAGTATCAAAGAAATGGTAATAGTCTGTTTGAAAATAAATTTTACAAGCTTGTTGAATGTATTGGGTTTTAGGAAGTAGGTGCTCTTAAGTGGTGTGTGCCTATCAGCGATGATGGTGAAACAGCATATATTAGAAGCTCAGATTGTATGCTTGTTTTGTTGGTGAAGAAAATGTGGAGCTCTTGGTTGAACAAGTTTTCTTTTAATATCAACAAATGCCATCTTATTCTCTAGCACAGGCCAGCTGAGTCTCACAAATAACCAAAATCTAAAACATTCATACAAACAGACTGGCCTCCTATAGATGCAGCTCTACTGCTTTGGGTACCAAATTGTTATACCTACCTGGGATTTCACTGGGTTTTATAGAAAGAGAATGTTGTCTGATGTTATGTTTATTGGTTAGTACATATGCAGTTACGTGGTTATTGTTTCAATAGCTGTACTTACCAATACAGTAATTAATGTTCTGTCATATGGCACAATCTGTAAAAGTCAAGGGTATGTGTATTCCAGCATTACATACTGAAAGGAGATCATGCTTACCAAGTTAATTTGTATAGTGCTTTCCCAGTCTTTCTCATTGTTCACTCCAGCATTATTAACCACAATATCCAGCCTTCCAAAATGTTCAATTACTTTTTTGAAAGCACCTATGGTAAGATCCAAAGGTGAAATTTCTTAGTACTTGTGGAGAGTAAGATATAAAAAATATAATGCATACATACAAATGAACGCTTTATTAGTCTACCAAAATGTCTTCACTGTTTTCTTAACCATTAATGAGCAACATGCAATTAAATTCTTTATCTAACTATTCACCAGTATTAAACATATTCAGGAAAACTGGAAGGATTAAGATACCATAGTTGCATTTTCATTCAGTTTTAGAACACCTGATAACAGGAGCAAATGAAAGTTCTTAGCACCCATACATTTTATATTAGATGGGATGTTTGTCACTCTAATTATATAAATTAATTATTTATATCTTGAGTTGTAACAGTTTGATACAGCTAGTGAATTCAAGATTTATCACCATCTATTTTAAATAAATTTTTAAAAGCTTCGTGTGTTCACAACAATTTTCTTTGTTGAGTCTGAATTTAACCTAAGAACACAATCCTTATTCAGTGATATAACTAATAGGAACCTTTCAACTACAAATAATTGATCATAGCTCTTGTTTAAATTTTTCCATTTATGAATAAGCTGTTATACATCCTACTCATCAGGTGTCTTTAATAATGTGTTCTCAAATTCAAATCTTCCTCCTTCTGTTGATGAAAATAATGACCTGTCTTCTGAAGAATTTCAAAATAAAGAACTGGGAAACTTCTACAATGACATTGTGTTCTCCCAGGTGACAGTGTTCAACTCAGTTTGATGTGTATCAAAAAATATGATGACGTCATAGTGATTTGCTCAACTCATTTAGGCTGGCCCTGCTTTGACAGCATAGTTGGATGAGATGACCTCCAGCTGTTCATTCCAGACTAAGATTTTCCATGACTGCAGACATTATCTAACATGTATATATAGCTTGTTTGTCTTAACTTCCAAATATTGTTCCTCGTCACTAAATATTTATTATTAGGTAAGACACCCCCACCTCCCCATATTGTTTTAAAAAAACATCATTTGGTGACTGACAAAAAGTCTAGAGTATTAGAGGTATACTGAAATTATGCTTGACAGATCTTAATGAAACCACTTCACTAAAAGGTGATCCCAGGACCATCTTAATTCTCTGATCTTTAATCTTTAGCTATTAGTGTCAGTCAGGAGCATAGCAGCAGCTTTAAGACATCTACCTTTTTTGCAGCAGTTGCAGGAGTTTACAAAGTTTTTTTCCTGCACCAGGTGGTCAGTACTCTTACAGCCTTTTCTTCACTTGAATGCTGCAGGTCCATCACAGTCATCATCTTGTCATCAGAACAAGAGCTGGGCAGCTGATGGGAAAGGTTTCATTTGTCCAACTGCCTTTATTGTATAGATTTTTCTAATAATCTTATTCTACATGAGAATATTTAAATATTACTAAAGCCTCTATTTTTGGCTGTCTGCCTTTTTGGCATTTTTAATGTTTGTTGCTAATTCATTCTTAGGTTTCACAACTTAACTCTTCAATCACTTCTCATCTTTCCAATGCTGCAGCAGCAAGGGCAAATGAAAACCTTTGGCTTTATTAGGAACAGAACTGATTATTTAACTTAAGTTTCAATGAGGAAAATAAATACGACTGGGGTTCTCAATTAGCTTCTAAAGTTTGGAAACTGTCTCTCTGATTCCCTTATAAGCTTTCTTTGAATAGCACCTTTCATCAACCCCAGTCTTAATAGAATCTTTTGCCTTCAAAATCCACCATTGATTATAGTACTTTTGCAATTATTTATTAAATATGCACAGTCTTGACTAATTGTAATTTTCTAGTTTTTTATAGCTGTTTGCATATCTGTGTTAAAATAAAGATTATAAAATTTGGAATATTTCTGGTAAAAAGTTATCTGGTAAAAAGTAATTTTACCAGATAAAAGTAAAAAATAAGTTTTCTGGTAAAAGCTAATCCCATCTATTACTTATCCATGAAAAGAAAAATCTCATTATAAATTCTTAATAAAGTTATCACCCACACATCAGTGTAAAATGACTTGTTCTCTTTTCAAATTGTAGAATAATTCTGTCATTACATTGCACACTAGTTAGTGCTTATGGAATCATAAAAATTAAAAGCAGATAAATGAAGAAAAATGAAAAGTTAAGAGGAAGATTCATTTTAAAGGAGAGGTAAGAAAACCAGTTGAAAGTAAGTACAAACACTAGTTATATGTGAGCTTCCTAAATATTCATAGAAAGCAAAACTAAATGTATGGTAGTTTTTCAAAAGTGGAACAAGATAGATTTTTGTGTGAGTCTACATGAAAGAGCCACCAGAGAAAAAAGCACGAGCAAGACTTGAATGTAGATGAAGCAGCTGAGTTCCTACCCATATGCATTATGTACCTACAGATACTAGTTGTAGTGCTGTGACTTGTTGCATATCGAAAGGGCTAAAGTTAAAATGAGAAGGAACTTCATACATGCGCATGGCCTTTAACATAATAAGCAAGTACAGGACTTGATGCATCCACTAAAAACTTTAAACACTAGGAGTGAAATTCATCTAACTTTATTGAGAGGTGGCTTGCAATTACAAGTGAAAAAATAGGAAAATAAAACAGTAAAATGCCCCCAGAAACACCAAAGAATTGTAAGACATGATTGCAAATTTATGCTAAGAAAGCTGTAGTGGGAATAATGTGGTATCAGAGAAGCATAAGCTGCAGCTGCACGCTGTTGCTCTTGTACCTTGTGAAAGCCCATTCCTATCCTATCCTGATTGCTCTTTTCCTACTAACTTGGTTCCAAAACCTCCCTTGCTGACCTGTCTTGCTTCCTCCAGCTCCCAGTGCACACCCTGTTGGTCCTGCACTAGCCTGGCACTAGAAAGAGGAGGAATCATGAGAGTGAAAGCGCACTGGGGTAACACCCATGCTGCAGCACATGCAATTCCTACCCCTAGGATGCTTTTTCTTGCTGCTAGGTTACTCCTCCCACTTGGAGAAAAAGTCAATAATCAGCCTAGCTGATAAAAACTTTGCTGATTAGAGCAATCTCAAATTTGAAGTCCAGCATCTTTCTTACAGACAGACCAATGCAAAGCTTTGGAATTAGGCACAATCATGCTAGCTTGGAGCAGTGCACAATATTGCTGAACTCTGGATGAGCTGTAATGTTTTGTAAACCAGGAATAGATATGCTCTGTTACTGCTGTTGAGAAAGCTGCCAGTGAAGTGTAGCGAATAAAAGCAGAACTAAAAATGTTCACATCTAGCCTGACACAAATGAATCTGGGGAAAGGGTACTGATAAAAGTGATGTCAAAATCTGAATCTGAGTAACTACCTATGAATGTATCACTTTAATAATTAAACTTTGATGAAGTGATGTGCCTGTTGTGAAATATTGTGATGGGTACGTCAACATTATACGATACTCTAAGAACTCAGTAGGGAAGCTCCTTGCCATTCCCTGTATCTGCAAAATGTGAGTGAGGTGTTATCAACCCATATTGAACACCACGGTAAAGCAGTGTGCCATCTTTTGCCAATTCTGCTTTCAGCTACAGCAGCACATGCTGAAAGTCAGTGTGCTGTATGGAAAGAGCACTGCAACCCTGAGCAGAATTTATTACTCCTGTGATGAGGGAATGCAGCTTGGAGTCTGTACTGAAGCCTCATAAAAAGCAAGTCCGTGCTTTAAAGTTTATATATATTACTCATAAAATAACAATTATCTTCTGCAGAGGCTTTCATGCAAAAATATAACATACAGCACTCAATGGAAATGATTTCTTTGGCTTTTCTTTACAACGTGCCAAGTAATACGGTGAAATACACACATGCTGGTAGTAACATTTCACATCTGCAGGTTCAGAAACAAACCCTTTTTGAGTCACTGTCAGAAGCGATTGGGAGTAGGCTGTCCTCCAGAAACCTTAATTGCACACTTATTGGAGCAGCAGCCCGGGCTCTTTCAGGTTGCTGCATGTTAAGCCGGAGCACAGCACTGACAGTTTCCCTCTTACCTTTCAGCTGCTCCTGGTCCGTAACGTCGCACTGGATGAACACCGCCCGCTGCGCTTCGAACTGCTCATCTAGGGCCGCCTTGCTCTCCTGCCCAGCTTCGGAGTTGCGGTCCAGCAGCGCTACCTGAGCAGGGAGGGAGGGAGAGCCTGAGCGCCGGCCGGACAGACAGACACAGACAGGCGGCCGGCCGGACAGACAGACACAGACAGACGGCCGGCCGGCCCGACGGTCAGCCGAGCCCAGCCGAGCCGAGCCGAGCCCGGGGGACTGCGCCCCCCCCGCACCCGCGGTGCCGGCCGGAGTGGAGCGACGGGAGGTGGAGGGGAGGGGAGGTGGCTCCCCCCGGGGCTCACCTTGGCTCCCTTGCCCAGCAGCGCCTGGACGAAAGCTCTGCCGATGCCCTGCGCCCCGCCGGTGACCAGAGCCACCTTGCCATTGACGTGCATGTCGCCGCGCTGCCGCCGCCGCTGCGGCTCATTCCCCCCCGCTCCCCTCTCGTGTGACCTAGAGCCTCCCGGAGCTGCCTGGGCGGGGGGAGCAGGGGTGGAGCAGGTCGTCAAAGCGTTCTCCCGAGTGCCTGGGTGAACCCCAGAGACCGAGGGCCAGAGGGGAGAGCAGCTTCAGCCCCTTTTCAGCCTCCCAGACAGTCCGGCGAAGACTGGGTCCCGCCCGGCAGCCCCCGGGAAGGAGTCCCGGGACAGCTACGGCTCCCCTCGGAGGGGCGAAGAGCCTCTGCGCCTCCACAAATCGCGTGAGAAGCTGCTATAAGCTTTGATAAGGGCTCTTGGCAGCTCCTGAGGGTGTGCGTTTTGGTTGGCCCCAGTTGCGTGAGCAGCAGCGTGAGGAATTGAAGGAAAGTTCAGCCTCGAAAAAAACAAACATAAAGCCTTTTTTTTTCACACTGCAAAATCCCCCACCAGTCTCCTCTCTCTCATTCTGCCAGTAAGTAGAACGTCTTTGCATGAAAAAGCAGCCATTATGAACTTTATGAACTTACAAACATTGTGAGCTTTAGATATATCAAGATAAGTGCTTTCTAGAAATCTTCAGGTCTGTAGACAATGTAGTTTGTTACAAAATACTTGTAACTGCTTTTACAGCTTATAAGCCAAATTCTGCTACATAATGTGATTTATATGCAACTAAAATTTATCAGTACTCAGATGTATCACCATACAGTAGAAAAAAAAGTGCAACCTTAATGATCTAAAAGCTAAAATAAATTTTCTTGTTCATTGACCTGTTACCAGATTCACAAACGTTATCCTATACAAAACATGGTGTTGTGGAGTGTTGGATAGGTAAGAAAAATCCATCGTTCCAGCCCTAAGATCTATAAACATATGTACGTCATGTATGCGAGTGTGTGTATTAACACACACACACACTTGTCTTTTGGGTTCTCCGTTTTCTTTTGCCTGGTACATCAGGTTTAAACGTTTTGCTTGTGCTTTCAAGGCCCTGAAGTACTCTGACTCAGACTTTGTCTCTATCAATGTCTGTTGCCATTTTGCCTTGCTTCTCAGAAACAGTGTGCCTATTTTGCGCTGTCTTCTTATCCCAGCTGCTTGTTCTCTACTAGACTGCCTTCATGTATGGAATTCCTTTCTGTTCTATTACCTAGAAGAAACAAATTATATCGCTCCTAACACCAGCAAACTGTTACAGAACCATTAAGGTAACTATGTTACCTAATTGAGTAACACAAGATCTTGTTATTATAACCTTTGTCCTTAAAAATGTGAACTAATATAATCCAGCTGCTAAATTGGATAGCAGCCATTTAGTATTCCTAAAGATCATGATTCACAGTACTTCATAAAAGCAGTCAGAGCTGGCCTCTGGGATTAGTGATTTGTTTGACTATGATACCTGTATTTCTGGGAGGGCTCCAGATTGCTTTGGAGCTGTGAAATTTGTGCCACCTAAACTGCCATGCCTAACGAGCTCTTTCTCAATCAGCTGAGCCAGCTTCCCTAATTTGTTGAGAGATAAGTACAGTGCCAGGTCAAAGGCACATCATGAGAACAATATTACCACACAGGGACCTAACAATAGCATTACAGTGAAGTCTTTCACCCTCAACCCAACCCTGATAAACTCAACACCACTCCCCCACTCCGTCCCCACAACCTTTGGCCAAGTCATGATCAACATCTGTCATGGTCTTTATTTTTAAAGTGCTATGCAAAGGCAAAGATCAATAAACCCCTCTGTAGTTCCAAACAGCTGTAGTTGGAATGACCTTTGGCAACGGCTTTCTAAACTGTTGATAACTTGGCATGAGTATTAAGAACAATCTGGACTCTTCAGAGACACTGGAATGCTTTAAGATCTGAGTGCACACGCTGTTTCCGTAAAACAAATCTTATAAATCTTCATCCCAAAATTCAGCTTGGTTGAATAGAATCCTCAGTATCATAGGTTGAAATAATTTAAAAGTACTGTGATAAACTAACCCAGGATTTCTAACTCTGTTTTTATTGACCAAATGCTCTCTTTCCATTATTCATTTCAAGAAGCTAAATAACACATCTTGCAAGATGGCAAAAAAAAAAGTCTCCATGTCAATACCCATAACCTTGGCAAAATATATTTGATATTAGAGACAGTGTTCCTAGCTAGAACAGTATGTGCCAATCCTCCAAATCCAGGAGGAAGTAATAGAAAGATGGCTCTGTGACTTCCCCCTAGGGCCAGCAAAGACGGCTTGGCTGTAAGGGATGTGTGTGCTCTGCTCCTTCAAACCGCACTGGATTTACTAAACTCACTAGAGGTACTCTTAAGAACTTTGTTGCAAAACAGTCTTTTACCACCCCAAGTCTGTAATATGACCAACTGCATAAAAGATAAAATATTGCCCACAGGAGAAAGCTCTTTGTAGATCATGTTAGAAATCCAGAGTTAGCATCTCAGTCTTCTTGCTGAAACTTTGGGGGTTTGAGGGGGTGGGGGGTGTAGTTGTGAAATTTTTTTTCCCTGTGATTCAGAAATTGACAGTTTTTGAACCTTGCCTTCAATTTTCATGAAAGCTTTCATAGAAGCATGAGGATTCCACTTTTTAATGTTTCAGTGGTCTACCTTTTCACATAATCTATCCTTAAGAAAAAGCAGTACTCCACATAAAACTTGGAAAAGCTGTCACAGTAGGCAATAACATACTTTAAAGGATCTATCTCCCTAAGTGGCCAGCTTACAGAAGACTGAACATATGCTTTGGGTACCTTATTGTGTCTACGAGGGAAGCTGATATGCTCATTTAAGAAAATGTGAGAGAGTTAAAAATTATGTTGCATTATTGAATGGTAGAGTCAAACAAATCCCTATCACATTTATGATTTTTTCACTGAAAGGTGCACTAACACCCTAGGGGTTATCCAGTATGTTAACTAGGTTCAAAAATAGCACAAACAAATATTACCTTAAATCACATGCGTGAAAAGACATTAAATGACTCCATGAATTTATGCTTTATGGATTTATGATTTGGGTGCTTTGAGAGACAAGTAGTTCCATATAGGTAATTTGCATTTTCTGTTCAAAGTTAAGAAATAACAATAATACTAAATAATGGTTTAGATACTGAAGCAGATTAAATCTTTCACTCACACCCCCCTGCTAACAGTGCAATGCCAAATGCATATTAACATTTGCCTGTTATTTGTGTGCAGAATGTGATTTCCTTGACTGTTTTGTAGTAGACCTTCTGGCTAGCAATACAATGTCTTTTTTGTTTTCCTTTTATGGCTGTGGTGCTTTGTCTTCCATTTCCCTCCAGTTACTTACATTTATTCTTTTGCACAGCACATGGCTTATGCTTCACTGTTCCAGAAAGAGCACAGTGCAATCAAAGCATGAAGAGACTCCAGGTGGTTTTAATCTGTTTTTGAAAAGGAGACAGGAACATGATCTCTCACAGACATAGGTTACCCTGTTCATTCAAAAATAGTTTTTCAAAAAGTAACCCATTGCCTCATTTTTGTTATCATCTCTTCATACTCTACAAGGTGTTATTCAAGTTGTTGTGGAAGCTAAATAAGTGGTTATCACACCTGTGAATGGATTATCAGGCAACAAATTTAGGAGGGCATCCAAATACTGTTATGCAGCATGTGTACTTTGGTATGTGGTTTAGTGCATTTCTCCAACTTCAAGCGAGAAGAGTGGGTGGAAAACAAAGCAAAAGAAATGACCCAAATGTCTAGCTTTGCATGGGGTAATTAAGGACTGATTTCAGGTCACGTACTTAACGTGCTGTGACCAAACCTTCCTCAACAAGAAATGTAAGTGTTCATCAAGTATAAGACAGTTTTCCATGTCCAAGAGGTTTTTTTTTTTTTTTATAATGCAATTTCTGTGTGATCTCTCTGTATATACTAAGTCAGAAAGGCAGGAATTACTGCATAAGAAGATGAGGTTATGGAACTATGCTTTATTTCAGATACTATACCTAGCTGTGTATACAAGATAATTCAAGACAGAAAGACTGGCTGCCAGAAATGTCAAACTAACTTAGAGGACAAGAAACTGAATGAACAACAGGCTCAGAGATTTGCCAAAATGCATTTTTATAACACAACATCATATCAGCTCATGCTAGGTCAGTGGCTAGATTATTTTGCTCATCCAGGATAACAGCAATACATGTGCAAAAGTGTCATGTACTTGGGGAAAATAAGAAAACACAGGATACATCAAAGCAAAGTATAAGAAAATAGTTATGAAACATCTATTACCAGAGCTCATACTATATGAGCTGTTCAAGAAGTCAGGAGTTCCATGGTGAGATTTGGAGGAAGCCACTAAAACAAACAAACAAACAAACAAACAGCCCCGTGGTTGTCTGTCTTTTCAAAAAATAGCAGGCAGGATAGAAGAAAGCATAATGTGTTTTTTGAAAAGATGAGAAATACCAGTTGAGGTCAGTAGTATTGTCAGAATAGAAATTGAAGTTAATGCCTTAGCACTATATGAGAATAAAAAGGCTTGGTTTAGTAGCTTAAGTAGGATCATGAAGTGAAGAGTAGATCACTTTGCTTTATGAAGTAGAAAAGGGAATTCAGTGGAGACTTTCAAAAATGGAATGAGAAACTATTACAGTGCAATTTCCAGATTTCTAAGAATGACTAGAAAGTATGCAGTTTTTGTCAAAAGATTTGTCAGAGCATGTGGGAGGATGTTACAGTAAAGGAGAGGCAAGAAAGGTGATGACTGGTTTTTAGATTGCCTTTCACTGGCATTAGAGAAGAAGGAATGCTAAGAATTAGAGAGCTTCCTGTCACTTTGGAAACATCTAATATGACTGAAAGATTTTGGAGTAAATAAAATTATCTACTCGAAAATATCTAGCGAAGAGGGGTAGGAAATTGCTGCCTAGGAATGTAAGAATGAGGGGATTTAGGAATCTAGTTTTTATACCTAGTCAGAGAGTCTTTCTAGCTTTCCACATGACTTTCTTTGATCAAATTCCTACTGTCATGCTCAGCATTACCACAACCTGTATCTTAGGCATCACCTTGGTAAATTTTTCAATCCATTGTCTTGCATATAGGTCAAATAACTGGGGAATAATAAGCTGTTAGTATTTCACCCTAGATACTTAATGCTTTAAACGAAAAAACAAACTCAAAGCAATGAAAGTAATACAGTGTTCACCGAAGATATAAATATTATTACTTAAATCACTTTTTAAAAGTTACTAGATAATTTATGGAATCTAGGGTTAATTCCATGCCTCAGAACCAGTATCACATTTTGAAAAATTATAGTCTACTGGAAGAATGAGAACATGAGTACGAGTATGCATGGCCAGGGCAGTAAAGGCCTTGCTAGGAAGGCAGTTCTGCAAGGTGTTAAAACTTCTCAAGGCTTGAGCCAGGCTCTAAATGAATAAGGAAGGATTCAGTGTTAAAGCATGCCCTGCCCTTTCTCTATCTGATATAATTATAGGAGAACCTTTAAAACCCTGTATTTGGCACTGTCTTTAAACACCACAGCAGTATGGCAGCTGGCAGTAAAAACAAAACAAAAATATGTGAACCCCTCCCATGCCTCTTGCAACTTTGGCAACACACTCTATGAAGGACTGACTGTCTACCCTATTCATTTGATTATCAACTCATCAAGCAGTGCAAGTATCTATGCATTTGGAAAGAAATTGTTGTAGGCTTAAACTCAAACTG